GAGGGCAGCCAACCGGTCTGAGCCACCCCGGACTGGGAGGGCGGCCGGTTTGATCACTCCATTGACAGAATCCATGTTGGGCAGGGTCTCTGGGTAACCAACCACACTACCGAGGTGTGGGCTGGTAGGCAGAGCCGGATCTTCAAGGGAATTGGGAGACATCGTTGGTGTGAGGGAGCAAGTCCTCTCGAGGACGATCTAGTGCGATCTAGTGCGAGCAGGTCACTCTAGTTCATCTGCGAAATTTGGATTGTTTGGCTTGCAAGAGAAAAAAGGACCGCAAAAAGGAGTATAGATATAAATAAGAAAAAAAGAAACTGTTTGCTGCAACCAGCTGTGGAGGAGGAAGAGAGGAAAAGCGAGTTCGGCAGAAAATATTTTCATGCAAAAAGCTTTTCCTTGGACCCACTCTTTTTCTGCTTTCGGTAATCCTTTTCACCGCAGAGATTTTCCGCTGCTCAGATTCCTATTATGGAATTATTATGCTATTGTATGACTCAATTTTTTATTATATGGTCAATTGATAAGTTTTGGGGATTTCTAGATTCTCTGTGTAAATCCTGATTTTCTCTATATACATGCAGACGTTACTGCATATGATGCAATGCACGGGCAGTGGGCCGATAACGGGATCATATATTGCTGTGGGCAGCGGGTATATATACCATAAGTTATATCTGGAGTAGAATAGCATTAGATATATCAATTATAATTGATTAAGATATATTGCTATCGTCTCATCTCAAAAGGTAAATGTGTAGCACAAAGCTCAACCCTTCTATGTTGCACATGTGAGTCTTTCTGACCTATCGAGTACTGTTATATGTCGGCGTACTGTATGTACATCCTCTGCATGTTGAAACAACAGGAGTAATAGCCCAAAAAAATATTGATATCCCTAGAAATTGAAGCATAGATATAACACCTAAGAGTTTATGTATTTAAAAACTTAAACACCCAAAGAATATAAAGGTTATGGTCCTGGAAAATAAGATAAGCTTACAAGGGACATCTGGATGAACCGGGGTAATCAGCACAATGACGTGGGGGGTTGGCCATAGTGGGAGCTTAGATTTTCCCAACTAAAAAAAGATACATCGTGGAAGATCTTTGGACTAAATTAAATCCCGCTCTGGTCTGGACTTTTGACTTTGAACTTCTTCCTCGTTTGCTTTGCTCTTTTCCTTTGTTTATCGCGTCTTCGCGTTTTACTCCGTAATGATCTAACATCCCACAACCTCCCAACAGACAACCTTGGAACCTCGGTGATGCTGATCTAAATCTTGAAATTTTCTCGCCATGTTCGCCTCGCTGCTTCGTCCAAAGCGCCAGCGCGGGCAGATCGAGCAGTCCCCATTCTCGACCCCCTCCCCATGGTTTCGCGCGCACAACTCGCGACGCGTTCCCCGAGCCGATGAAAGCAGCGACGATGCGCCAGAGCTTCATGTCGATGAAGAAGATATAGACCAGGACTGGGAGGAAGATGAAGAGGATGGACCACTTAAGTCTACACCTCTGCTGCCTATGTTCTCTGCGTCGCATTTGGGTACGCAGAGATCTTTGGGGTACAATGTAGCCGATTCAACAATTGACCAACATGACTAGATGCGCTACCTGTTTACAACATTACCCACGCCATCCGTCCCTTGATCGCCTCCCGTTGCGAAACCACCCTAACATGGGACCAATTACGCTCGCCGCAGGTCTCCCAGTTCCTGATCAAGCCGATCCTGCAAAAGATCATGTCGGCCCACTTTTCGCGCGCGACCCTCTATGCATTGATGGCCAATTGTCTGCAATTCGAGAGAGAAATACACCTAAGCCCGGGGAATAGCGGGGCAAATCAAACACGGGCAATGGTCAGTGAGCTGTTAGCGATAAAGCTATTGCGGGAGTACTCGACCCGAGAATTGATCGATGCGCTTTCGTACGAGTTCTACCCACTCCAGGGTCAGGATCAATCCACGGTATTAGTCTCTGGGGCCCAGCGGAAACGGGTGGTTGCTGCCCGTGTCTCATGCTTGGAGGTCGCTATCCGCGCCCAGGCGAAGCGGTTCTTGGCCCATCCTGTCGTGGTACAACAATTGGAGGCTATCTGGGCGGGAACTATTGTCTTCCACTCTGCCGCCGACAATCTTCATCGTCCCGGGAACATGAACCAAGGTGGAAACCTGGATTATGGGGCAACAATGGATCCCAATGGCGACATTGCAACCGAATCCAGCAATAAGACACTTCGGCGATCAGTGACAATCTACAACCCCCGGGATGCATCTTTGTTCAAGTTATCGCGGCTGAGAGTGCCGCGCTACCGACAGTTCCTTTCCACAGTATCCTTTGCGGTACTCTTGGGACTCTTCCTGGCTGTTCTGGAACAGCGAAGCCGCAGGATCACATCCCTTGAGATTGTATTCTGGTTTTGGAGTGCCGGGTTCATGCTTGATGAAGTTGTGGGGTTCAATGAACAAGGCTTCAGTCTTTATCTGATGAGCTTTTGGAATCTCTTCGATGTCGGGATTCTACTATTGCTCTTCGCGTATTATTGCTTGAGGATATACGGTACATTCCTGACCTATCCTAGAAGTCAATTTATCGCCGATCAAGCCGTAAGTTTCTCCATCTTTACGATGGTTGTTTTATCCACGGTATATGCTAATTCATTTCAGTTCGACGTTCTTACCGCTACAGCTCCTTTGCTATTTCCGAGGTTGTTTTCCATATTGGATCATTATCGCTACTTTTCCCAACTCCTCATTGCTTTCCGAATAATGGCATCAGATCTGATCGCTGTCTTCGTACTCATCGTCATTTCTTGCTCTGGCTTCTTTGTCTCTTTCTTATACTTTGGAGACAACAAGTCCCCCAATGTGGTGGCTTATGGTTTGTTCCAGATGCTGATGGGATTTACACCAACCGCATGGGCGATGTGGGATGAATACAACTTTTTAGGGAAGACGATCCTGACGGTCTTCCTATTCATCTGTCATTTTGTCGTTGTCACTATCTTGATCACGGTTCTGACCAATTCCTTCATGAGAATTGTCCAAAACGCAAATCAAGAACATCAGTTCTTGTTCGCTGTCAATACCATCTCGATGGTCAAGTCCGATGCCTTATTCTCCTACGTGGCGCCGACAAATGTTATTGCCTGGCTAGTCACACCATTCCGATACCTGATGCCGTTCCGCGAATTCATTCGGCTCAATCGGACCATCATCAAGATAACCCACTTACCCATACTCTTCACAATCTGCCTCTACGAGAAGACAATCCTCTGTTCTCGGGTTGTTCAGCCGATGGATCTAATTGAACCTGCGTCACAAAATGAGACTCCAGCTCATACGCAGAAATGGAAGCCCAGTCGATTCCGTGGTTTCAGCACCAGCGCATCGGTTTTTAGACGAGAGCCCTCTGTGGCAACATACCAGAAGGATCGAGCGTTAGAGGAAGTGTTTCGACGCCCATACAGTGACGATCGAATCCGAGGGCCACCGAGCACTGTGCACGAACGCCAGACCAATAACGTCATCAAAGACTGGATGCAGGAGATTGGCTCTGGGCCAGTCAATGGACCGGATGATGGGGATTCGTTGGTTGCGGACCATCGTGGGATGCGGCAACGGCCCAAATTTCCATTCCGGGCTAGATTAGCCAACCAACCTCGAGATTTCACTGAAACAACCCGATCAGTTGCTTCGAATCCTGAGGACCGAACAAGCATTGCAAGCCCAGTCATCCGGCCTCGGCGTACAAGACCGTCTGTCTCGCCCAGTCAGAAACGACAACTCTCGCATCATACAGACATGGAGGGCGACGATGAGCTTACCAGTAACGATGGTGACTCGAATGACGACAAACACTTGGCCCCGGGCTCCACGGGCGAAACAGCCGATTCTGTTGCAGGTGCAGACAAGCCATCGCCCAAATTCTACAGCTCTCGCCCATCCACCGCAAGAATTATCTCGGGTCGCAACAGTCCTACGCGTCGCATCAGACATACGCGGAATGCTTCAGGGGTCACCATGTTGTACAATCCCGTTGGATCGCCAAATGAAGAGACAGAAGGCCGGGTCACACCTACACGGCCAGATGCCGATTCTTCCGACGGAGAATCACCCCCTGTCGCCTCTACCTCGGTAGATCAGGGTACCATGAAGCGCCACATTGTCGACGTACCTCGTCCTCGGAATCCTCAGATTGGACTCAATCATATGTCCGTTCCCGAGATGGACAGCATCTACATATCTGATCGTCCCACAGGCACCCGGCCTCGATCATCCCTTCTCTTCGATCTGGGATCCGATCTAGGCGACAACAAGGCCGTTGCGGGTGGCTTTGCCGGTGCCCTTCCGTCTAGCTTCCAGACCCAACTAGGCTTTGCCCCACCGGTTATTCGTCGTGAAGCACCGACCCAAACCCAAGACATGCTCAGCAAGTTAGTTCTAGCTCGCATGAACAACATTGAAGAAGGATTCCGCGAGGTGATTAAAGAGTTCAAAGATCTCCGCCGCAGCGAGTCGAGTCGCAGTCCAAGCCGACCCGATGAGTCCCGGGGGGCTACACGTGAGAAGAAGAAACGTGACAAGAAAGACTCGAAGAAGAAGAGTGTCAATTCACCCGGAAGCCGGGCTGGTAGTGGTGGAAGCCCATTCAAAGGAAACGGACCCGATGATGATACCCTGCCGTCTACCTAACTGTTCCATACGTTCTGTTTCTGTCTTCTGGTGGTCACACCGTGTAAAAATTCCTGTAAATTGATCGGGTGGTTCTTTTACTTTGCGGATATCTGATTATGACCAGGCGCGTTGATTTTGTTTTGCGGATACCAGATACCATCTCATTCGGGGTACATAACGGCTTCAAGGTTCAATGTTCATCAGTCCATAAGTACATGAAATCTTCATATTCCAAACTTCCTTATCCAATTCAATGCTTTATTTCCTAGTATGGTCCATGCTCCCAGACGGCATTGCCATAAACTTTCCCCTGAACACTGATAGTTATCCCTTTCGCGGCGCCCGGGCAGTGTGTCCAGTTGTATCACCTTGATCTGTTTGACCAGAGGTGCCCTGGAACGCCGCTATCTCTTCGCTCGTATTGAGCGTGCCTCGCTGGGGAGCTAGGAAGCGGAACATCATAAATGCACCGCTGATGACGCCCAAGGCGCTTAGTACGGCGACGTTGCGGGTTCTTATTTTCTTGTGTTAATACGGATGGACATCTACATATAATCGTAAGGCCGGTACTAACTTCATTGGTTTCCGACCCTGATAAACGGCGTCTGCCATGGTAGCCATGATGGGGTTGTAGATGGTTTGTAGATGTTTCTGATAGAGCAGGTTGCTTCGAAAGGATTCAATTGCTCAGAAGGAAAATGAAATTTCCTGGATATCTATAGAAAAAGAATGACATGGACATGAGCACATGGTGATTAATGGTATCCGCCACTTCCAAGGCGCGGGTACGCAGCGGGTCTTCCCGAGGTCATTTTGCACAGTCGTCTTTCTTCTAGTTTTATTTTAACTAGACCTAGGTAGTGTGCTAAAACAATGTGAACATCAGGGCATAGAACATGGCTATAGAAAGTTGTATCCAACCTTGGAAGAGACCTAAGGGGGCGTCCACGGGTGTTATTACTTGGCTACATGGTGTATTTTAGAGTTGGTAGTACATATGTAAATTTCAACTTTTTTATTTTTTTTTTCCATTTCCTCCATATGCTTGTACAAGCTTTCTTCCTAGTCGAGATATCTTCCTCTGTTGCTCGCTTGAATTTATCCTTGTTTAGAAATCGGGGTTGCGTTCCGGTACTTCCATCCTTTCTCAAAGTTTCCTCTTTAAGCTTGATGGAGGTACGTCTGTGGGCTTGTGTTGGCCTGCTTTCATAGCTTCCCTCAAGTTAGAGAGTCCCAGGCGCTCCAGGAACTTGCTCCGCAGGGAACTTGCGTTCGCGGGGTTGAACCCCGCGGTTATGGACTCCTTCCAATATTTCGAGAGAGCACTTCCATGAATAGATCTAAAATTATGTATTGGCTTGAACGATCGGTCTCTTCCGTTACAAGGGGGCTCGTTGCATTTGAGAATTGGAATGACAAAACGAGGACTCCTTTCGATCGTCCATCGGGCTCTACTCTCCAGTCTTGGTGCCCCGCATTTGCTGCATCTTATCTGAACGGTTTCCGGAAGTTTGCCCAGCTCGTTTCTAGAGCGGCAAAAAAAGGAACTCCAGTCTGCTCGACCATTTGGCTGCTCAAGTGGCTTTTCAAGATCTGGTTTGTTTGGTTTCATTGAATTTTGCCATTTGTCCCATGGCACTAGAACCACGCTTCCTTCGCACCCTGGCAGACCACATCCTGTGAATTGGAGAGTTCTTAGGATATAAAAGCTCTGGTCATTCTTTGCGAAATAAGGAAAAGCATCATCAAGAACCGGACGCTTACAAGACGCGCACGCCCTGGATATTACTTTTGGAAGAGGTATCGTCCACTCCAGGATGATAGGCTTCCTTCTGCTGAGGCGCGCGTATTCGGTGTACTTATAGCCCACTTCTATGGCAATTTCCTTGATTGGTGAAGTGTCAACGCACCCATTCTGAAGCTTTTTTGGATCACAGCGAAGAAGCCCAAATGCCCTTTCAAGATCTTCACGACTTTCGATTTCTTTCCCTTTGATTTTGAGACCGTCCTGGCTCTGGAGCCATTCAACCAATTTAGGGGGCAGGAGAAACCAAGAAGAGTCATCGAGAAGCGAGCCATCCGGGTATGACTCGGCGGGAAGTGAATTGTCCTTCGAAGCGCGGCAAACATCAAACCAAGACTTTATGAGGTCCGAAATCTGGATTTGGCGGCTTCGCCAAAGCTCCTATGGTTCACAATGAGTTAGATATCTGCTTTTGGTTTCAGAAATTCTGCCCTCTACTCACTGTATTTTCATGGGCGTTTGTCACTGTCTTTCCCTCTGGGTCCCTTTGAACCTCTTCTCGTATCGTCTGCCCATTCTCGAGCTCTTTCGAGATCATTTGGAGGTCCTCTTCTTCCCTTATTCTCTCCTGTTTGTCATACCGACCCTTGTCTCGGACTTGACGATTTCTTCGTTGGCTGCCTCCACCAAAGACAAGCTCTCCAATGCTTCGCAGATCTGCTTTTGTTTTGACCCCAAACGAGGATACTTCCCTCGGGGGTGGCTTTCGTAGAAGTTTCGCTCGATTTGAATGCCAACGAGGCTGGCAGCAAACGCTAAGGCTGTATCCTGGACCCTAGCTTGTATTGTTCGGTCAAGAACACCATCTGTCCTTGTTTGCCGCCTGGGACGGAAGAAAAACTGGGGATGATGAACCTAAATCACGAAACGCTTCAGTCTCTCGGACTCTATCTCAAGATAGAATTTAACTTCTTTGAGATTATCCCACAGAGGAACCGGATAAGATCACATTGTTGCTTCGTCTTCATCCACGCATGCTCGCCCCATAAGATCTCAACAATGGCATACATATTGCGGCGAGTATCGCGAACAAAGTCATCGTGAGGCTTTTGAATTTCCTCGGTCCAGAAGTAAAGGCAATCCTGTGTCTGAATTCGGCGACAAAACTGATCAAAAAAGAAACATTCTTGCCCAGAAGAAAACCCATTATCATGGAGCAGGCTCATGGTTGGATTGCTTAGATCGTCGGTGTCGTGAGAGCGTGGGTCAGCGACAAAGAACGTCGGATTCAGAAGGTGATGCGCCAGGGGGCCATTTATCGATTTACTTGGGGTGAGAAGGAATTCTCCCGGGTTTGATCGCTCAACCCCAAGCTGACGCCAAACCTCGGTCTCTTCTTGAACGAACCGTTCGAATCGGCAAGTGAGATCCCAGTTAGATCGTGGCCCTGTCCCCTCGGTGTCAGTTAATAGTTGGTAAAACACAGATAATCCACATACGGCGCGTCCATTCACTGTCCATTCTTTCTATCATGGGCATGTATTGTCGGAAAATTGCCAAATCCTCATCTCGCAAAAATGGCGCTGGGTGTTCCAGCCACACATCCCGAAAAAACGAAACGTATCCGCTTGTTGGCTGTTCTCCATGGCGGGGACGAGACTTGCGTTATAATGAAGGGCACTGTTGGTGGGTCGAGCTGGATCTGCGTGGACAATCCACTAAGCAGCAGAAGGATAGAAAGGAAAGAAGAGGAAGGGAAGCTCGCCATATATCCTCCATCATTTTGTACGATCCAATCTAATCACAAACATAGCAGTGATGTCTTGGCTCCAAATAACAAGGGCATAGAATCATCAACCAGTGCACGGAGCACCAGTTCACTCAGATAAAAATTAAAAAAATACTCGGAAACAGGTAGATACCCCGGGTAGTTACCCCCAATACATATTGTCACGCAAAAAGGATTTTGGAATCGAGACACTTATTACATCAATCAAGACCGACTTGTGAAAAGGTCCTGGCTAGTCCAACATTGGTGGCTTAAATAGCAACCGTACAAGTTGCCTTTCTTTCACGCAGGTTCATTGTTGCAAAGCCAGCGCTTACATGTTTAATTGCTTCCAGTGTTAGGTACTTGTATATATATATCTAGTTGAAGTTCTTTATAAGAAGTTCCAAGTACCTAAATAACATCCGTGGAATAGTACCATGACTTCTCCGTCTGGATCAATACTTCAACAATAATATTTCTCGAGAACATCTACTACATCCCTCATTTGTGTTCTTTCGTTGGTACACTTGGTGCAGCCCAATTACGTTCAATGGACGATATTATATGATATGGAAGTTAGTGTTGCGAGTAGTGCATCGTTAAAATCATTTTACGCTGTTTTCGATATATTATATATTCTGCGGCTACTAACAAGGGAACGCAGAAGAACCAGGGGAAGCCCCCTGATCAAATTCCGCCCCCCAACACCGACGACTAGAACAGCATTACTGAATCCTGTGAAGGTGTAGAGTTAAAGTGGAAAACAGTATCGTTTTGACAGAACCGCAAGATGGCCTTGCCCCAAAGCGGGCGTTTGATAGTCCCATTGCTCACCATGGGCCGATCCTGTACAGTATCTTCTACATATGTATTTTTCCATCTATAAAAATTACTACATCACTATAAGCAATTCTAAACGGCTGATATTTTCACGAAACCTACATATATAGGTAGGTTAGGTTAACAACAGCTAATATTAATTAATCAAAGGAAAACGAGTAATTGCGGTAAAAATGCTCACTGATCTTGAAAGTCTTAAAGCTAGATTAGATTTAATAAAATAGATGATATCTGCGGGACTGAATAATTTCACATTCGAAGAAAGAGAGAATAGCCGAATGTGAAATTATATACAAAACGAATTAGACATAACCTGCAGTGGTAACTCAGCGGTAGAGTGTGAGATGTAAGCATTTTCACATCCAAAATCCACAGTCTAAGAAACTAACAATATAATTAGTGCAATCTTGCCCAGGTGCCTACCTTGGACTTAGCATTATATCTTGAAGTCCCGTGTTCGATCCACGGTCACTGCTTTTTTTTTACCCCCTAATGGTATTTATTCCAACCATAATTGATAAAGTCGGTCTGCTGAGAACGATTCTCTACCACGTAAGAGTCCAAAAAGTAGCCTAAAATATCTGCCTAACTTACTTCCTCCCTCATGGTAATCCTTAATATTACCCCTCTTTTGGCTAGACTTCCGACGTACGCTTATCGTTTTAGCGCGTTGTCCTTGGTTAAGTAAGGTCTCTATCTACATTTCGGAGGTTGTTGCATTCAAAGGGCATCAGATTAAGTCGAGTTTCACTTTATAAGATACCTTAGTAAGAAGGTCTTCGCGGGTGACCTATAGGTTTTCCGAAATAATTTATTAAGAAGATGTCCACGGGTGCTTTATAAGTAGTATCAAGCTTTAACCGGCTAGGGCGAGGTCCAGAAACACTAGCATGCCGTTCATACTCTTTTTTGGTCGTGTAGCCAATTATAGAGAGGACATCTCTTATAAATGCAATTATACCCCTATTAAATAGCTGAATGGAGCTTATAGATCCTCTCTATAAGCGCTGGAGCATCTTTAGGAGGAAAAGGAAGCTTGCAAACGGGCGTAGGAGTAGGAATAAATTAAAAAGCATGGTTGAAAACGTGATTCATTAGCGGGTAGTGTTAGGATTAATGTACCCAGGGGGTATAGGCAAGGGGCCAAAATCCCCATTTCTGGTAATTAATGATGTCTCAAAACGAATTAGATATAACCTGCAGTGGTAACTCAGCGGTAGAGTGTGAGATGTAAGCATTTTCACATTCGAAATCCATAGTCTAACAAACTAACAATATAATTAGTGCAATCTTGCCCAGGTGCCTACCTTGGACTTAGCATTATATCTTGAAGTCCCGTGTTCGATCCACGGTCACTGCTTTACTTTTTTTCCCCCGAAGGTAATTAGCGGTAGAGTGTGAGATTGCAAGGTTGCCCAGGCATCTATAGCATTTATCTTGAAGTCCCGTGTTCGATCCACGGTCACTGCTCTTTTTGCTCTGGTCTCTCGGAGTCGGGCCGTGAGGTTGGGCGTTGCCCCAGGGGCTCAATTATCTTGATAAAGCTGGTCCGCACAAAGATCTACGACCCCCTACGCGGGTAGGGGGCGGGAGGTGCTATAGTCCGTGGGCTATATATAACGTATTCCAAACGAGCTGCGCAGGTTACGTAGTAAAATGCGGTATAGACAATTGTTGTTGAGATATTGTAATTTATCACATTTACTATACGGACTGCGCAGCTCGTTTGTGCGGAGTAGTAGCTTTATACCCTAACTGTTGAAATCCTATACGATTACTCGGTCCAACGCCATCATGACTCAACCTTGGAACTCCCGGGAATTGGGCCATGGTTAGGCCGAGTAAACTTTTCCTATTCATGCATGACCTTGGAATGACAATATAAACTCGGATTTACTAATTAACTGCCTGGCGGAGCACTTGAACATTATTGATCATTTAGCCAAGGTATAATAACTACCTAGGTGCCTAAGTAGTGTTCGAAGGTTCTCTTAAAAAAAAAAAGGTGGGAGTGGTCCGAGGAGTTGCGGATACGGCATGAAATAATAGTAATCGAAGGTTAAATCTTGATAACATTGAACCTTGCAAGGGGGGTCGAACCTCGATAATAGAATACCCTTCCATGGATGAAACATAATACTTTTCGAAAACATCTACTTTATACCTTTTCTGACAGGGAGTTAGTACGATTGGTGCCAAGTAGAATCAATGGAAACATTGAACTGTTGTTATAGGAGGATTGAAGTTAGTGTCACGAGTAGAACGTTAATATTAGAACCATTTTACACATTCTTTTTATTGTATGCATATTTTGCACAAGAGGGAAACATCTAAAAAATATAGGAAAGATATCTACAATAACATCTGAAAGAAGATCTGAAAGACCACCAAAAAAGACTTCTGGACTTGGCAAGGACTTGTTTGTTAGTTATATGTATGCGTTGTATCTCGTGCTAGGCAGCAGAGCCTCATTCCCCATTTCCCCACCTCTTCTTTTCTACCCTGTGAACTACCTAGGTATCATAAATTATTGCTCTTGACCTAACATCAACTTATTACATATCTACATATCTACATATTGTAGTCATCTCCATCTCCATCCCATTTCATACTGACCCCTTGAAGCCTGTCCAAAATGGAGCCGCCTCACCCTCCAGGCAGCACCCCCCGGGAAGAAATCGAAAGCCATCTACTCCCACATCAGCAACAACAAAACCAGCAAGAACCCAATATTGACCTTGCAAGAGAATCTGACACTATCTCAACCCTTACAAACACTCCCGGTACCCCTATAGCGCTCCCAACGAGTACCCCGCATTTTCAAAAATCACCTTTCAACTTTACAACGACGCCATTTCTACTTCTTCTCCATGGCGCAGATACACTGGTGTTTATTGACCCTTCTCCTGAGACAATCCAATCCAAGTTGCCTCTTTCCGTACAGACAGTTCCCCATCGCATCCACAGTGAAAGATTATTGGCTACAGGCTCGGCTTACTTCAAACGACTCTTCAATCCGCAAATGCAAACTCGGGTCCAAAAGCGACGCGGCTTGACTGGAAAACTACCAGATGGAATTCAATATGTCTTGGACCTCACACCTCCAACTCTAGACGAAGATGCAGTCATCTTCCTAACCGAGCTTTCATGTCCTATGAGTATCAGGACTTGGGCCTCGAAACAGAGAATGTGGAACTTGCCACGGTCCTGTGTTGGAGGACAAGATGAGTTGGAGTCCGTCGAGCAGCTCACACAATTCCCTACAACATCCCCTGAGCCCGGGACCGATACCTGTGGCGACCATCTACGTGAACGTATGAAAAATGAGCCGATTGAAGCCTCATCTGAACCGCAGGACAAATTTTCAGAATCACGGCCTAAAATAGTAGAGCAGAAAAGCCTGCCGGTGGAATATTCAGCCTCCCGTCATCGTGAAGGCATCGAGCACATTCTCCACGTTTTGGAAGGACTAAACCCTAGAATAGACACTCCTTGCAAGATGTGGACTTTTTTTGCGCTCGCCAAAATATTGGACGTGGCTACGGTGCCGGCCATCTCTGACCACATCATCTCGTGGTTCTACGAGCTCAACAACAGTCGGTTCATTGAGCTTCATCCCGATGTGACATATCGAGTGGCATGCGGTATCAAGTCTCCCTACCTCTGCCGAGATGCTTTTATTGAAATGGTTGGAGATGAAGCCCTGCTGTACCTGATCCGGGCTACATGTTTCAAACCGATCGGGTCAATGGAAAGCTTGGTGCGGAGCCATATTTCCGATATTCTAGACGACACAGAGGTGCAACGTATCGAATATGCCAGCAAGAGTTTTGGTGACTACGTCGTTCGGTGCTTCTTACAGTTGGCCGGACATGAAATGCCCTGGTTGGCACACATTACTGAGTTCCAGAAGCTTACGCGCCATCTTCAACTTTATCCTACAGACCGTGGAGTCGTATATCCACTGATCGTGACGCTGAAGGAATTCATTCGTGACCGCATCTACGGGGCATTAATCAATGAAAGAGACACAAATCGCTCATTCCATGTGGCGCCAAACTTGGAGAGATCCGAAAACGCATACCACCGATGGGGCATAGACAAGGGATTTGTCCTCCAGCGATTAATCGGGAAAAGCTTCTGGGGCGCACTGCTATCCCTAGATCTCTACCAAGATTCCACCTCTCGCAAGGAGTCTCATTCTTCAATAGCGGAAATTGGCAATGGCTCACCAGCCTTTGGTGGTGAAACTGCAGCAATGATCCGCCACGTGTCGCCCGGTGAAGTTCGACAGATGAGCCATGTGTTCAATGAAACGGTTAGAACTAGAGCGCAGGCTCGCCAGGAGGAAGAGGCTCTAGCTGCCAGACATGCAGGTGGTCATTTTACGACGGAGATGACTATCAACGTCCGGAAGGCAGAAACCGGAATCAAGGTCGGCAGCACCTTTAACAACGGCCCATTCCTCAGTCCCATTCCTGCTCCCACCCCTAACCCATGTCTTCCGCCTGCATCTCGAATGCCACACAAGACAGACATCTCAGCCGTGTTCAACGAAAGCACATTCAAAGATGAGGTTTATTCTTTCCTGAGACAATACGCACTAGAGATGTTGCAGCACCGCGGCCCACCCACAATTCGACACGAACTCACAGATATCCTAACCTGCCTCACATACAACGAATTCCAATACCTACCTCTATGGGCGGGCGGAAACGACGATGAAACGGGCGGTGTTTTCACCGACCTGATCGTTCCCGCCACGGACGTCGGCGGATTCTCAGCTCCGGGGCCTGCCGTGCACAATGGCAGTGTTACCTCGAATGATTCTCTCAGCGAGATCGAGCATAGTGACGCCCAGAGCACTATTTGTGGCGCGTCCCATAATGCCACTTACAGTCATGCTTCGGATATCATGTCCGTGGACTCTACCGACTATTCACAGTTTAGGGTCAAGCGTGAGAATCATGAGAGCTATGATGAAGTCCGGTCGGAGGGTGAGATATCATCGCTGGTTGGCCTGACCACCGACGATGGTGAATACGAAACACAGAGCGATGATACCATTACCGTGGATGTGGGATCGCCTGAGCCTTCCTTTGCTGGTATTTCCGATGATATCGAAGTGGACAAAGTGGAAGACGAAGAAGGTAATGATACTGAGTTCGAATTCATCGATGTCCACAACTACTTTTAAATAACCAGATGGTTTTCTTTCTTTCCTTTGTTTCCTTCTTTCTTTATTTTTATTTTTTTTTTCGACAGGAGGTAGAGAATCAGAATGTGAGCATAGGAAAGAACATCGCTCAAGATGGCGTCTAAGTTACTTCTCTATTGCGTCTGCGCGAACTGCCCAGGTGCAAAAGCTACCCAGGGACTCTATTGTAGGCACATCTATAGTAAATCTAATATACGTCGTTTTCCTATTCCTCCGTTACCTTCATTTTGTCCTCCAACGACCCGAGATAGGCCCTCTGACCAGCCTCTATATGATACTCCTCAAATTCTCCAGCGCTTCAACGGTGTCAGGATGATCCTTCCCAAAAATTCTTTCTCGATGCGCAAGCACCGTCTCCGCCAACTCTTTCGCAGCATCCAGCTTGTTCTGCGATTGGTATATGACACTGAGATCGAGCATGGCGGAGATTGTCTGTGGGTTGTCCCTGCCAAGGGTCTCTTCCATTAAATGTAAAGCCCGAGATACTAGAGCTTCGGCCTCGGGCATTAATCGTAGCTCGCGATACGTCACTGCGAGATCGACCATGGCGACCATCATGCGTCTATCGCGACCCATCCCAGCCTTTTCCATCCCGCTTATGGCCTTTTCTCCGAGGTTCTTAGCCTCTTCTAGGTGGCCTTGATTTCTGATTGTGTAGCACAGTTTCCTCATAAACACAAGTGTTTCGGGATGTGTCTCGCCGTGCACAATCTCGCTGATTCTCACTACCTCCTTTCCGATATCCTTGGCATCTGACCATCGAGCTTGATCTTGATATGTAGATGCAAGGCTTACTAGAGCGGTGAGTGTTAAGGGATCGTTCATGCCAAATGACACTTGGCAAGTAGTGGCAACCTCTTGTCCAAGCTTTTTGGCATGGTCCAGCTTCCCTTGGTTTCGATACGTCGAAACGAGGCTCATTTTCCATATTAATAGCGATTCATCCGTTGGCGATAGTACTTCCCCAGCGATGTCGACTAGCTGGCGCGCAATCAATTCTTCCTCTTCGTAGCGACCAAGGTTCGCATATGAGTCGGCTATGTCATTCATAGCATCCAAGGTCCACGAATGTCTCGGACCAAGCATCAGCTTCTTCTTCTCCAACATCTTTAGATCAAACTTCAGGGCCTCGACCCAATTCCCCTGGCTCTTGTATGAACACGCGATGTTGCTCATATTCGTCAGTGTAGCGGAGTGGTCCTCGCCGAGCTTCATATTTCTGATCGCCGGCACTTGCTCTAAGAGTTTCGCGGCCTCCTCCAATTGGTCCCGCTTCCAATAAGTTGACACGAGCTTGTTCATGCTTTCCACAGTCAATGTGTGCTCCAGCCCCAGAATCCTTTTATTGTTCTCCATTTCCTGGAGCTCATTGTCCACTTGGCCTTGAGTTACTGGCTGATTCTCTGCCTCGGGGCTTTCGAGTCGATCATATGATTCCGAACCCTCACTCAAAGTTTGACCTCTCTCCAACACTGAAGATCTTTGGTTTGTTGGTATATACTCCAATGATGATCTCCCTTGATGGTCAATTACCACAACTTGCTGGAACTCATTTGACTCCCCCTCGCGGGCTGCGTTTTCATTTTTTTCTGGATCGGGATGGGGCAGAACAAAAAGAGAGAGTTCCCGGAGATGTTGGGCTAGGTGCTGCTGAAAGTGACTCGGATTTGTAATGGGAAGTGTCGTACACAGGGGGCATTGCTGTGCAGAAGATGTAGGTCGTTCGGACAGTTTCACCACCGCCTCCCGCTGGTCTTCAGGAAGTACTCCGGTATGAGTATCCCCAAGATGATTCCGGAATAAAGCCTCGGATTTGAAAGCATATGAGCATATATTACAAATCCACTCTCGCCGATGGAATTGTCGTTCATGCTCACTCCATTCCGTGTAGCTGTCGTACAACTGGTTGGATTTGACACAGTCTCCGAATGTGCAGATATAGGGCCGCAAGTCACTGTATACGTGATACTTCCAGTCTTTATCCAGATCCTCGAGCTGGATTGTCTGGTAACAATATGGGCAGATAAATGGTGGGATCTGGGTTGTGTTCACCACGTCTGCTGGCGGCGGTGGCGCTATCAAGGCATGTGCCTGGCCACCGGCGGTCGAGGTCGTTGCAGAGAGCTTTGTTTCTCCCGAATCAGATCCATCTTCTTTATCCCTACCGTAGACCGTGTCATCCTGTGTCCATTTTCTAGAAATGCTTCGAGTTCCTGTATCCCTGGTCGACTCCTCTTGGACCTCTGTGACCTTTTGCACGGCTACACCAACATATTCGGAAATCTTTTCCTTGTGTTCCTTGTAGTATGCGAGAAGTTGACGGCGTTCTGTGTTTGCTTTGCCGAGGCGTTGAGCGAGCGTACTATTCTGTGGAATGTTGTATTCGTCTGACACACGTTGGATGTCGTAGAATTCGAAATGGCCAAGTTCAATACGCGACACTTGAGCTGTGCGATACCGATGTGCTGGATTCTGAAGAGTCAAGGAGAATTTGTAACTGCAATGCGTCAGTGTCAGTGCTCTTCGGACAAGGGTAACTTACAGGCTGGCAATTGTATATTGAATGTCGAGCATATATTCGTCCAGATTGGAGTGCTCGGCACTCTCTGCTTTGACCTGATCCCAAAACCCGTCTGAATCCGAATCATCTGCGTCCAACTCGTCCATTTCGGAGCCAGCAGAGGCGTCATCGAGATTGAAGGACTCTCCATTTGCCGAGAAAAAAAGAGATCGCTAGGTAGAATAAGTAACGATTCGAGTGTTCAAATTGAGGTTATTTCAAATACCTCCTTGGATGGCTTCGATAATATCCCTGATATGGTTTTGAACCTCTCGATGTAAGTCCGAGGCCTCTCGAAGTCGGTAGTCCAAAGATAATCTGTCTGTCTGTGTGCGATGTGCCCCGAAATTTCCAGCCCACACCCGTAGCATGCCCATCTCATCCTGCACCTTCAGGCGGATCTCATTTTGTTCACCTGGAATAGAATCTAGCAGTTTGTGGAAGTCGCGAATGCATAGCGCAACGAGGGAACTCGTCGATGGGTCTCTCTCTAACTCCATCTTAAACACCAGCCCGGGGCCAAGGCGGATGCTGAGGCGAAGATGAGGTGTCTGCTGCCGGTACAGCTTTGAATGCCGGAGTAGGTGGTCACAGAGTGTGTACAGCCATGAGAGAATGAGAGAAGTTGAGAGAAGTTGAGATCAATTGCCTGTCTCGGGTTGGCGCGTAATTGCCATAGCGGGGTTGTTGTGCTGTCCATAGCGCCTACCCCCATCCCACTCCAAGATACCTTCCTTCTTTATTTTTCCAAGGCATTTCAAGACATTTCCTTTTGCCCTCTGGTCTATGTCTTTCTCGATATGAGTGGTTTCGAGATAGTTGGAGTTGTTCTGGCGGTCTTTCCGGTTATTACCCATGGCCTCAAGTTCTATTCCGAAGGAACTGGCTTAGTCAACGACTTCTTTCACTATCAACATGTTTTGAAACGCATCGGTCGAGGTCTGGCTCGCGAGCAGACCAGCTTTAGCAACTCTTGCAGGCGATTCATGGAGGATGTTGCCAATCAGTGCGGAGTTGGGGAAGAAGAGATAGCCGAGATGATGCAAGACCCAACAGATCCCCGATGGCGGGAAGGAGATCTTGTCAAGGAACATGTCTTCCGTCAAAAGTCTGTGCAGGAATATCTAGACACGGTGGAGGATATGAACGAAGAGCTGGCGAAGATCAGGGATTTGACTGCGATAGATGCAGGCGACGGTCGAGTAAGCTTATTGTCAATTGGCTTCGCTGCTGATTCTGACTTAAATATCCCATTTAGTCCAAACCGCTCGATAAAAAGTCTCGCCGCCGGCAGTGGAAGAAGATCATCCTCGTGCTCAAAAAGGACGATATCACCCGACACCTTGAAGAAGCCGGGCGCCTGAACAACTTTCTAGCGCGATTGACAGAGCAAAATCAGCCTATGACCGCTACACGCCATGTTTCACGCAGAAACACCAAGCACTATGTGCGGATCCGTTCTCACGCTATTGATCTGTATGAGATATTCCAGAACAAATTTCCAGCATCACCTAGCTGCAATTGCATGCTGCGGCACGATGTGAATATGAAACTAGAATTCCGCAGTGCGAAAACTACTGCAAAAGGCCTCTATTTCCACGCTATATTTACGTCCAATATTGCGTTTTCATCGAGAAACTGGCGAGAGATTGAGATGGAGCCTTGGAAAACGAATGAAACAAAGCTCTGTCGGGATACTGATCGTCATAGCCAAGTGAGATTTGCCGATCCACCCTCCCCAACAGCATCCGATTATGAAGACATCTCCGACCTATGCGCAACAATCATAGGGCCGTCCTCATCACGGGATTGGCTGGGCTTCATCACAAGTGAGAAAGGCCAACAGCATCGTATCAGGTCTATGGATTACCATCAAAGACTACTGGACTTCAAAAACATTGATACAGTATCCCTGGCCCAAGTTCTGCGTGATAAATTATTCCGTCAAGAGCAACGATCTCGGCTGGGATTAAAGTTAGCTTCTTCGGTGATGCAGCTACATACTACGGATTGGTTAACAGATTTCTGGAGCAAAGATGATATCTTGTTCCTGCGTTCCTTGGATGCCACAGTTGACTTCGACGGCCCGTTGATTCGACGCAGCTTTGAAACTCGGAATATGGACTTGACTGATATATCCCAAAGTCTTCCAAAACCCTGGTTGAATGCATCGATTCCATGCCTATTTTCACTGGGGATTGTTCTCTTAGAGCTTTGGTACCGAGAATTGTTTGAGAACCTGAAAAATGAAGCTGAAAGAAAGATGGTGTGTACCATCCATAGCCACCTCGGATAGCTTACAGGTCTGACTTCACAATCTAGCCACCAGAATTCTCCGACCCTTTGGCAGCGCGACGCTTGGCCAATGAGATGGACTCTGGCCCGAACTATAAGAACAGTGTCTTGCGGTGTATATCTGGACTAGACGCGGTATACACATCACTGACAGAAGAGAAGTTCCAAAATGAGGTGGAAGAGAAGATTCTTTCCCCTTTGGAAGAGGACTTGAAATTTTACTGCGACATAAAATCAATAGAGGATTGCATATAACACAGAGCCAAATCGACTACTGAGAGCCCTGGCGCTGCTTTTTGGTCCGTCTGGGCTCCCGACTCATTGATCCAGAGGGTCCTTGCCTTTAGGACACCCTCCAGTTCCCGAACTAGATAACTAGATGGACAAGAAGTGGAGGACGAGTTGCTCTTCACATCGCTAGGCCGTGACCCGGTAAGTGTTCTGGATTATTAAATTTACATTGATCAGGGTTGAAAGCAAAATAGAAGATCTCATTCATCACTCTGGAACTCGTCACTTAGTTGTGTATATTGAGCAGATCGATGATAGACAAATCCACCCGCTAAGTACCTTTGCATGACATATCCAATCGCGCCTTCTTCATCCTCCATAGCTTTCCATTTCCTCCACTCCGTTTCATCTTGATATTCTTTGCGAAAATGGCATAACGCAAAATCGATCATGAAAACCTTGAAACCATTGTCCATGTTCCTGTGCAGAATACAATTCCTCGGTTTGACATCCTGGTTGAGTATCCCTCGATCACCGATAAGATGAACAATCCGAATGGCGTCTTCACAGATACTCTGCCAGCATTCCATGGGGGCATGCATAGCAGTATCGCTTAATGAAACCCCTACGATGTACTGCAAAAGGATACCAGGAACATCCACATATTGACTGATGGGTGCTGTCTGCTCGCAGGTGGAATGGGGCACCGTGACGCATGCAAACAGTCGGGGTATATCGTTCCCTTGTAAATCCTTTAGGGTGTTGTACACTTCGACTTCCGTCTCATAGAGGCCTAGCATAAGATGATGGAGATAGGCTTCGAATTGCAAATCGTTCCAATCGTCCCCTTCTTGTTCTGCTAGTTCGGTGTTGGCCTTGAGCTCGGTGAATAATTTTAATGCACCACCATCGAGAATGAATTGATGATATTCCTTTTCGATATCCGAGGTCCAGGGACAGACTTCTCGCTCTTCCCTAATTGTTCTTGCAAAACGTCGGTCAAACAGCTTCAGTATCACATCACCTTCTAAAGCCAAAGAAGAAGATGCTAGTCGTACGACCATTGTAGAGGAAAGGGTGAATGGTTCAAAGACCTTGATGATTCTGGCGTCTGTTGTTTGTTCATCGTAGGGTGTCTTCAGCTGTAATTTGATTGTATTTCCGACGAAATAAGGAGAACTGTTTATTTAGTTAGTCTCTCAAGAGGCTTGTAGGGATGGGACGCACTTGATTCCTTCGTGATCCATTGGTGATTGGGAGTTAGTGCTTGCGAGAATAGTAGTGTAATATTTGTGAATTGATGCTTTGGAGAAGCTTCGAGTGTTCATAGCGCGCAGAGTCCTTCAAAGCAGGTGTCTGCAATGTACCATGTCTTGGCAGGCGACAGCAAGTGTTCCAGATATGCAGGCGATGTCCACGGGTAGGTCTACGGGCTTTGTAGAAGCTCAGGCTGGGCTGTGTGGGTTGTGTCGCCGTACTGACGCTTTCTGAAAGACATGGGCAACAACTCCAGGGCTACCTACGGAGCACATAGTTAACCACCTCGGTAAGGCGCCGGGGCACCGGGGCACCTGCAGGTGGGCATTGAGGTGGGCTGACTCAGCGGCTTTGCGCGAACTGCCCCAGTCAACGGGTGCAAGGTACTCCAGATTGCAAGACCTTAACTACTTAGCTCCTATACCTGAGTATTACACAAGCGCCTGGAAACTGCAGGCTCTTCTGTCACTTGGACTATTACTCCTCTTTTTTTCCCCCTACGATCCCTCTATATTTGAGGTCACGGCCACTGACATCATATCACTATGGCTTCATCCTCCAAGACGAGCTCTTTGCTCTAGTAAGTCTTGCCCCACATGATATCTGAGCGATCAAAGAGTCTATTCTTGGACTAACATATAATCTACTTCAGCTCGTGCATCGCCCATCGCACTACTATTCTGGCCGAACACTCCTCACCGGGTAGTTCATCGACCGCCGCCTCGTCACTAGCCTCCATCATCCTCCCAAAGATCACACACGACAAGCCACAAAAGCTCACCTTCACCCATGAACGGCTTTTTGTCCATTACATTGCCGACTCGCCAACAGGCAGCCAATCTGAGGATGGCAACATCGCAGAGCCCAACTCACACGCTCCCCTGAGCTTCGTGGTAGTTGCATCGGCAAGCAAGGCCGCCGCATCCCATTCGCCTACCTACTAGAGATGAAGCGGAAGTTTTTAACAACCTACGATCCATCCACAACCGAGTTCGCCTCACTGCCCGCCTACGGCTGCGCTGCCTTCAACAACGAGCTGCGCTCTCTCCTACAAGCCTACAACACCGCCCCACCAGCAGACTCGCTCGCATCAGCCCGGCGCGAGATCGACAGCGTCCGCGATATAATGACCGAGAATATTGAGCGGGTCCTGGAGCGCGGCGAGCGCATTGATCTGCTGGTTGACAAGACGGATCGGCTTGGCGGGAGTGCGCATGATTTCCGGATCCGTAGTCGGGGACTGCGGAGGCGGATGTGGTGGAAGAATACTAAGTTGATGATTATGATGGTAGTCGTCGTCATCTTCTTGCTATATCTGTTCATTGGCATGGGATGTGGACTACCTGCATGGGGCAAGTGTGTTGGACACTAGCGCAGCTTCGGATGGCTAGTCGAACATTTCAGCGAGCGTGCTTTATTCTTCAAATATCCAGGTTCTGGGGTTGCTTCGGTTTCCGACTTCCTCATGAGACACGATGCGATGGTTATCTGCTTTCCTACTTTTTCTGAGTTTGCTCCGCTTTTACTCCTGGTTTATCTTCCTACTCGGATTTGTATATTAAATCTATCTGACTTGTATTTCAGTGTATCGAATTTTGCATGCCCCTAGGACTGAGTGATGGAAAGTGTTTGGTGTCTAACCTGTGGGTTTGGTATGTCTCACGTCGCCTGCCTGTCAAGGCTTTAGCTGTGTAAATGGTGGATTTCTTGTTTATTGGCATGTAAATACAATTTATTCAATAGGCCATGGTATCTCATGGACAGATTAGCTATCATATGTAATTAGATTTTACCACTGACTCGGCTAGGCATGGCGAAGAATATACATCGGATCCAGGGCTTAATATGTAGTTGTACATCTAAGTTAAGTCACTAGAATTCCTCCAATTTGTTAAAAGAGACCACGATCTTACTCGAGTGGATATACGATAGAACAGCAAAGCTACTAGTGTCGAGGGCGCATTACATTTTGCTCATCTCCATAGCCATTGCAATCTGCTGCTCTGCACGATGTACAGCTAGCTGAAGCATAAGAATTGCGTAAGACGAATGCTAGGAAAGCTGAAAGGAAAGATTGATGCAAAGAAAAGTAAACCAATTGATTGATAAGAAGTATCTATTATCCCCCGCATCGAAGATATAGAGCCGGCTCCTACAATCTACAGCCTATATATCCTCCAACTGGAGTAAGATATGTACCTCACCATCAAACCCACTTCGTCCTTGCCCGAAAGCATCAGAGCGAGTCTGCAGGTAAGACAGAGGCTACCAGCTTCCCAGTAGCCCTGTGGTTTTGTTTACGCCAAGTGTTTACCTCTTCAACCATAGGGTCCGTCCTAAAAGGCGCGAGATTGACGAGGAGATAATAAGGCGGTCTAGTTTCCAATATCTCCAATACGGAGGAATTGGGATTGGAAGCGAGTGGAGAGGTCGCTACAAAATCGAGCAAAGGGAAGAAAGAAATGCTAGATCGGACGAGCTGCAAACTGGACACGGAACGGAATGGCCTGAAGATTGAGCTGTAGCATTTGACGGACGTTCCTATGTGCGCGGGAGACGTAAGGAAAAGAACGCCGGCTGCGCAAAGTGAATTGCCTTGCGAGCACCGACTCCGGATAGAAGAAAAAGGAAATTTTGTTCATTTTTCATTCATCGCAATGCACCTGGTTTCAGAAACTTTACCCTGATCATAGCAGGTGGGAAACTCCGTTTCTCAAGAGTCCTTCAAATGAACCCGCGCCGTCAACCGCCATTGCAACATGAACCTATACCCCACACGTAAGAAATCCCTTAAGCCGACTTGCTCTTGACAGCCTCACGACCCTTGGCCATGCGCTCAATGATCTGCTCACGGTCCTTGTCGAGGTGCAGCTTGGTGATGACGACCTTGGAGGGGTGGAGGGGAATGGGCACGCTCTGGCCGTTGCTCTTGTCGCGAACGATCTAAAACCGCAGTAAGTATCCACCGCAATGACTGTCATGTGAATTCGAATCGTACCTTCTCGACGAAGATGGAGAACTTAAGACGGTAGACGTTGGTGATCTTTCCCTCACGTCCCTTCTGCGAACCTCTGGCAACAACTGCATATAGTAGTCAGTTTCATGATCTTGAGAAGAATCTCAGGTTGCATCAAGGATAGAACTCACCGACTTCGTCGTCCTTGCGGATAGGAATGGAGCGGATCTGTTACAGAACACTGGTTAGAATTGTTCTGTATTGTGTGATGCTGGCGACTGTATCGTCCTAGTTTCCAATCCCGAAAACTCGACTCGAACAGACGCACATTCGATTTGGAGGTTCAAGTGGTACATACTCCGTACTTCTCCTTAAGTTCCTTGGAGACGGGGGCGCTGAGGATAACACGGCGCTCGCTGGAGGGGGCCTGGAAGTGAGCCTTGCGAGACTTGCTCCGCGAAGAGGCGATACCTGGAGGAGACACCATCAGTATTGAAAGTTGAAGATTGGCGAAAATTCGTATCGATAGGGGTCGGGCAGTTGTAAATCAAATCGGCGCAAGGCGAGATGCGAGAGAGTACGCACCGTGGGTTCGGACAGCCATCTTAAAGGTCGTGAGTGGGAAGTGAACGGGTGTCGTTGGCGTTGGTCGAAGAGAGGATCTTTTCTTGTGTAGCCGAATATTCCAACTTGGATCCGGATTGTGTGCTTACTAATTTCCCGCTAAGCCGTCTCAGGGCTTGCAACTAGACACCTAATAAACAAGGCAGAAACCCCTCGTTATATGATTGGTTGATGATGAGACCCACCTCCGACGCGCTTCTCGATGCGCCTCGACAACATCTGCGGCAGACCAGCTCTTTGGCCGCACCTTCTTCGGGACTGTAAGGACTTCCTTCCTAATTTCTTCAACTTTGGTCCCAATTTGCGTTTCATAGACTTTTTGTCATTACTTGTTATACCCGGCCTTTCCCTATTCGGCCGTGATTCAATCCCTCCATGCGCAACGTATTACGATCAGGCCTTTTCTTCGCTCGGTCCCACAACATCCCCAGCCATGATGTTCTGGCTGTTAGACAGCTTCAGCACAATTTGAAATGTCTAATGGAGGCATGGACGGATTCGATTGGCTCCAGAGCTTTCTACCCGCCGATAATCAACCCGACCCCAATATCAACAATGAGGCTTATCAAACACACCCGGCGTTTCACGATGCGGAGGAGGTCGCTAAAGCGGCCTTTATTCACCAGCAGACACAGAGATCATATTCCTTTATGAGGTCAACCAATGCTGGGACGAATCGTGCCCTGAATCCTCCTCAGGCGTACTCGTATGCCTCGGGTGCACAGTACGGAGGAAACACACACCAGCAAAACAGCAATATTCAATCCGACAGTCCTCCTTCTAGCCACTCCGCATACCCAACAGATCGTTCTCACAATTCAAATCACCCACCAAATCCCCCCGCTCCGTCCCAACAGCAGCACTTGGCTACTCAGGCACATCAGGATGCATATGGCCATGGTCAAACTCACATGGGTCCCGCTGGCCCCCGACAGAGGCCTTCCGGCTCTATGCCAAACTCCTCGGCCCATCAAAGCACCCATAGGATCTACGAAACTACAAGACCGACAGTCCCTGCACAGGGAATGAACCAACCCATGGCACGGGCTGTGCCCACAGATGAAAACCCGTATCAAAGGTTCTCGTCAAACCCAAAACAGAATTCCCATGTGTCGTCCCAAACGCACATGCCACAAAGGATGATGACACAAGTTCAAAGAACACACACGGAAAGTCCTTCTTACAGCTACTCTACAATGCCACCCCACAATCCTCAGCAACCACCTCACTCCACTGCAGCACAAGGAACCAGCCCGAGGCCTCCAGTTCAAAGGACACATTCAGCGGCAGTGCCCCCAGAATCTCAGAGACCATACCAAAGCCACTCGACGACCCCAGCTCAGAATACCCAGCAGATATCTTGGTCAGCTGCAGCAGCGCAGAGACAGTGGCCGGGGCCCCCAGTTCGAAGGACACATACACCGGTGGCAAGGCCCCAAGCATCGCAGAGCCCATATCAAAGTCATTCCACGACCCCAACCCAGGTCCGAAGACAATCTCATCCGAATGCACCGCCAAGCCCCCATTCGATGGACACTGCGCCTCTGGTCTCCGAGACCTGCCAGTCGACCACACCAGCCACAATCAATCGAGAGGCTTCCAACCCTACAACACAGAATCCGGCTACCAATTCTGACACTTCAAACCCAATGCCATCTGAGTCTTCATTCCACAATCAAGATCATGTGCAATCAGCGTTGCCAGCAGCGCCTGATAGGGTCCATAGCCCTGCGATACCACAGCCTGTCTCAACCCGCAGTCCTTCTGTCTCTATTATCTCTGCTCCTGCATCTGCCCCTCCTGCACCCCCTGCACAGACAGCTACTGTCCCACCTCAGTTAGACAAGGCCTGGAGTCAGGAGAAACACGGTAATCAGGGCAAAGCAGCACCTACCTCATGCCAGTCGCCATATCAGACAAACCAGCAGCCTCCGATATCCCGGCCAAATGAGCAGAGTACACCAGCGGTATCCTCGGCCTTTGCGTCAACCATACCCCCCGCGGTCTCGCACCCGGGGCCCTCTGATAACTCTTCGCGTACCTCAGGACCTCGATTGGGTACCTGCTCTCACTCGGCCGTGGCCAAACCACCTGCTGTGGACAATACTCGGTCGCGGGGGTACCCGCTGCCCGGACCACTGCCGCATCAGAAAAAGCGGTGGGTTCCAGCCGGAGAGCATTATAGTAATTCTATGCCACCCGCAAAGATGCGACTATTGGACAGTGGCAAGAGACAAACAATAACTCCCCCAAACGACCCTTCAGCGGGTAGTTCAGTACCAGGGGCCCAAGTTCCTATGGAAAATGCTCGGCCTCGAGGCACCGGTAGAATTCTTAAAAACCGTGGCGACCTTGTCCAGCAGATAAACCCGAGCGATGCACTACTCAAAAAATCCTATGATCCTACCACGATCGCGCGGGATGTACTGATTGCTGCGGGAAGGCACCCGAAGGAAAAGCATCTAAATCATCATCTTGATCCATTACGCCGTAATTTTACCAGAATTGATTACTGTGCAGACCTGGCAACGTTTCGTTGGGACCTGGTGGACGCCGAGCAGCCTGAACCTCAAGTGGACCGCACGCCTCCGGTTCCCGCACCCCAAATACCTCGACCAATTCCTCACCCTCAGTGGCAATCACTTCCACGTGACCCCGCTTCCACAGTAAATCACGTGACGACATGTGATCACGCTCCCATACCAACGCGTCACACACCGCCAAATCGCCAAGTCGCATTGCCAGAAAGGATCGACGCGCGCGCCCCGCCTGGTGGTTTGAGCCCTTGGGGTACTTTACCTTTCAAGCCTCCGACTTATCATTCTCCCCACCATATTCTTTCTTCAAACTTGCCTTCTGGACTTCCCAGGGTCGAAGCTGTACCTGCATCGCCGAAGTTCTCATCCAACAAATCCGCCCCCTTACCAACTCCCCCTCCCCCTCCCCCCTCCCCCACCGCCGCAACCGCACCCGCAGCCCGAACACCGACGACGCTCGACGACGAACAGTGCAGCCACACCAAAACCCTTGCCTGCTACGAAACAAGTGACCCCCAAGTCTACAACAAAGCCTAAACCTCAAGGGCAGACGGTCAAGAGCCAGTCTGACTCTGGTCGGACCGAATCCCCCGAGGCAAGGCGTCTTCCCCAGCCACAAGTTGTCATTCCACTGTCACCCGCCAAGATGCCCACGAAGAGACGACCAGGGCGACCCTCGAAGAGCGTCGCGAGCAACATTGAAGTTGCCATTCACCGTGAGCAGCCTGTTGATTATCAAATCTTCCCATGCAAATGGGAGGGGTGCGCTGCCCAACTTCACAACATTGATTCGGTCCGAGCCCACGTGATAAAAGTGCATATACCGCATTCTCTTGTTTGCAAATGGGACGACTGCGGCAATAAGACGCCAATGGCTGCAGCAGATATGTTTCAGCATTTGGCGACCGAGCACATTTCTAAAATTGCTTGGGAGCTTGGGGATGGTCCGACGGTGCCAGTAACTGGTGAGAATCATAACTAGCTTGCGCTTGACGCTCCTCCAAGAGCTGATCTACACGAAGTTTGTTTTTGATCTGAAGAAAATGTCTAATCGGATGAACGTTCTAGCGGAAAACAACCCGAACCACCCTTCCGTTCTGGGTGACCGAAGTGCCCGCAAAGGGACCATGGTCTTGCCGGTCGATGAGCATCAGGTCAAGGCCTTCAGCAAGGCCCATGGTAAGTCGACCGAGAAGACGAAGGCCCAAGCCCTGATCGAAGCTGGTCGACACTGGAAGCAGCAGATTGGACCTGAGATGGACTGGAGTGACCGTCGTCTGTCGACACCAGCTCGGCAGCGCAGGGTACACACTGGGGAAATGGCATTTGTGGGGGAGAGTTGATGTGTCGGATCGACTTTCGTGATACTTACGACAACGGGTTGAGATGGGCCCAAATCTTCATTTATTTTCCTTTTTTTTTTTTGCCCTTCTTGGGATTCGGTTCATTGCATGGCGAGCAGCTTACGTGGCGAGCGGCTTGCATGGGAACTGGCATTGAAAGCATATCATAATCTGCCATCCTGGCATGGCTCACAATATTTTGCAGCTGGATTGCACCTGGATGACACCTTCAGAGGTTCTACATTATCTACGGGATCGAGATCTATACGGTGAATTCCCGGGAACCCACACAGTTTCAAGTTACTCAAAGGGCATTGATGAATCAAGCCATGAGATTGGCAATGATTGCCTTTCTCTCCAACTGAATGGACGGTAGTGTACAATTGGCTTGTGCCAGAACCGCTGGAAAAAGTAAAATCAAATGATGTAGGCACTGGTATCTTGGTTCCGCGGATTCTTGTATTCCTCCTCTCCCTCGAGTCGCAAATCAGATTTAATTCCCCTTCCTTGAAGCCGACACCTTGTCTGTGGACACGGCTGGCACAGCACCCTCGGCCTTAATCTGACTTGCTGATTCGGCAGACTCTGGTTCCTCCTCGCTGGCATTGACATCGAGGAAGTGGTATAGGACAATCATCATCATGGCGCAGGAGCCAAGGAAGATGGCGAGGCGGTAGAGGTCGTCGTCGGAGATCATTGCGAAAGGAGGCCACGGAGGAGCAATATAGATGGTCACGGAGGAAACCAGGAGACAGAACGACAACAGAGGAGCGTTTAAGGGATGGGCGATATAATCGGAGAAGACACGTCGGCCAGTAGTTCGACTGACACTACACGGTGTTGTGTAATTGCGGGTGTCTCAAAAGCAGGAATTGGGGATTTCTCTCTTCAAAGAGGATTCAAATGTTTGAAAGAATAGAGGAACCTTGGAAGAGAGTCAAGGTCAAGTCAAGGTCAAGACCTCAAGAGATGTGATGTAGTTGATAAGGTGGTGAGAGCTAATCGGGTAAGTAATGTCGGTAATGTCAGTAATGTCAGTACGACCGTGTAAAGTATTAGTAAACTTGCATCGTGACTCGGTACTTTCGCACTTTAGTACTTTTGTACCATTTTACCTCTTTGTTCAAGAACATTTGAATATTCTTATTGACCTCTCTAGGAATATATACACTCTTCCCTAAGAGAGACGCGCCCTTCAACAAGTGCTCCCCCTTAAGTGCGTATTGCGGATTACCACCCGGGCCGGAGCACTGGAACGTTGGAACATCTTCAATCCTCCCCCCCTCTTCTCTTCCCCTCTACTCGTCTTGCTCAGTCAATTCTACTTTATCGCCTTAGCCATTTCCTATATGCATCTTCCTTCACTATGACCGAATTACAGGCTACTTCTGGGTCCAAACCGGGCCCTGCGTTACTGGCGTGTCTTCAGTGCCGTCACAAACATCTCAAATGCGACAGTAGGACTCCCGTCTGCAGCCGCTGTGAACAGACCGGATCAGCTTGCGAATATACCAAGTCTCGGAGAGGTTACAAGGGCCCCTCGAAAAAGCGCCGGGCTAACTCGCCGGATTACCTGCCCATGGATCCCAACCCGGTAGGCATGCTCGATATCCCCGTGGATTGGACCTTGCAGGCTGGCTTCACTTATGCACCAACGATACCATTGCCCTCCTCCGCGTCGACTAGTCCTGGACTGCAGGGTCTTTCAACGCCAATTGCTCCAAACGCTCGCCCAATCAGCGGACCGTTGACTCCGGACTCTTCCTCTGCCGCCGGCGGGGATGGCTACCTACTCGATATCTACTATAACTATTTCCACGCCGCCCATCCAATCCTGCCACCTCACCGGCTCCTATATCGCACTGTATTCCCCGCATACCTGGAGCAGGTGATGAAGTTCATCGGTGCCCACTTCACTCCTGCTGCCTCGAGTGACACCTACCGGCCTACGGTTGTCGCAATGGTCCAAGAACAAAGTTTGTCGGTGGAAAAGGTGCAAGCGCTGCTTCTGCTGGCGATTGTCCTTCACTCAGACAATGAGCGCGGCGAGGCCGGCGTTTGTCTCGCCGCTGCAGTAGATTCAGCCTTTGAGCTTGGCATGCATCAAGGGACGTTCGCAATCATTGTAGGCAATGGGGATCCAATCCGCGAAGAGTCTCTGCGGCGCACCTGGTGGGAGCTCTTCATAATCGAGGGTCTCATGACTGCTCTCGGTGTGCAGCGCGAATACCGAACCAACCAAGTACCGCTCGAGGTCCCTCTTCCATGCGAGGAGCGGATTTATTATGACGCCCTGCCACCGCCACCGTCCCCGACCATTGCGCAATTTGACGAACGCGTGTTCGCGGACGAAGAGCGTGACTTCTCTTCATACTGTTATCGTATTGAATCCATACGGATTCTCGGTCGTGTGGTGGCGATGCAAGATATGACCGAAGGCCAGCAGGACCATGTGGAAGCTCTTGATGCACGCATTGGTAGTTGGGGCCATCACTTGCCAGAGTCCAAGGAAGAGCTCCTGCGGCCTGACGGGAGCGTGGATGAGATCATGTTCCAGGCGACTATGATCTTGAACGGCGCAGCCATCTACCTCAACTTCCCGCGGTCTGATCTTCTTTCATCTCCCGCCGTTGCTGCGGAAGTCATCTGTGGCCACCATGGCCCGATCAGTGTGCCTGCATTCTCCCACAATGAGCATGCCATGAAGGCCGCCAAGGCCGCCCGAGAGTTGTCCCGCCTTGCTGCCTTCCGTCTGCCCGTTATCAAGCACACCCCATTTTTCATCTGCGCACTCACCCTGAGCTCCATTGTGCAACTGGCCACCTGCTCTGTCAAAGCCGGTCAAATGCCAGACCCCAGCCGCGACCGTCTGGCGTTGACGATCGGTGTCTTCAAGTCGTTGGCTCGCACCTGGGCCATTTCCCAGTCGATCATGCGGCAGATCAAAGCGGTTGCACGGGATGTGATGGATCTGGGGCTGCGTCCGACAATGGACTCGCTGGATCTGAACACGGTGTTGGATAACAGTCAGTTCTGGGTGGATCAGGGCCCGAGCTGAGGAAAGAAGATATGACTGCCTCTCGTGACCTTTCCGACTCAACGCCTCACATCGTCTCTGATATTCGCGACTTCTCAACAGTCGTTGAATCAAGTCGAGATCCTCCGAGCCCAGCATGCTCACCGACCTTTGATCGACCTGCTGGCGTGTTCACCGCCCCACTAACCCCCCTTGCAGGGCTCTGGCCCCCGTTGGGGCTGAGCAGACCCAAGTCCGGAGTATAATAGTATAAATCTGTGTCCGATTCGCCGATTCTTGACCGGGATACCCGGCGGGAAATGCATTTTCCACCGGTACCTGGCTTTGTATATATCAAACAGACCATTGATTTGTCTCTTTACCTTTATAGGCTTGTAAAGGTAGTTCCTAACTGAGACCAGGGCTTCATCTCTGTTTCTCTATAGCGGGATGAATTTGCAGAACCCAGAGTACGTAGATTGTTACCATTGCCTGATTGGCTGCATGGCTCGTGTTCATTATGAGCTGATACAAAGACCCCGAACAGGACCGATTTCCTGTTTGGTCTCTCTTCTTTGATGAAGCAAGAGGCCGGCTATCTACAACAGACAGGCTTAAATCTATCTCTGCAGATGAACAGCATTACCCATTGAAATATGGAATATATAGGAAATATCAACAGAATTCACATTCTCCTTCCTATCTAGAATTTACCCCAAACAAAACCAGGACTATCTGTACTCACGGAGATACTTCAACCGCTTAACAGCAAGAGAAAAGTCCTCATCAGTAGTGATAGTAGTCGCACGTCTACCACCAGGAATAGCAGCCATCATTTCCTTAGCCTGCTGCAACTCCGAATTCAGAATTTCCTTGAGATCGAAGTGCTCATGGTCAATCTTACGTGTTTGCAGCGTACCTAAATTGAAACCGAATTAGTCAACGATGGTTATTACAGGCAGAGCGCGTAGTCTTACGATCGATTTTGGCAAGGTGCTTATTGGCCTCGACGATTGAACCCCAGAGGGCACAGACTTCGGCCGTTTTTCCAAAGGTGTCGTTGCGGATCCAGCCTAGAAGACCGTTGAGGAGGTCGGCCTCTAGTTGTTTGTTAGTTCTGATGGACTAGAGCATAGAGGGTTGGACGGAAATAGAAGATATGATTACCTTTGGACTCCCTGGATAGCCGGTAGAGGGCGGGGATTTTGGCTGCCATGCGCTCGTAATTCATTTTGGCGAGACGGAGATGGGGTCAAAGGGAATGGGTAGAAGAGATAGAAGAGAAAGGATGTTATATAGACCAAAGGAACATAACGTTTGGCTTAGAGTCATTGAATATTTGGATTATCCAGTCAATTCTAGAGAAAGTAGGGCTTGGGACTGAAAAACAAAGCGCCCAAGTGGAAGTATACAGGGTCTATTTTGAGAACAAAGAATTTGACCCCAGAACGTTTCACATCCCTCCAAATTCCTCTTTCATATCAACGCCGAATTATTTGACTTCGCAGAGCCCTGGAAATATGTGAGGACAAAGAAAAGTCCTGTCAGCCTGGCTGGTTGGGATAGACCGGGGAAGAACAAAGAAAACGAAGAGCGAAAAAGAAAAAGCGAAGGAATCCCCTCTTCTTCAACACCCGATATCTTCTAAATCATTCCTCCTAGTAGTATTGCTCGAAATGGCAAACGATCCTCCCCCAGATTTCGTGAATCGCATGGAAAAGGTCCCAGCACCGTATCTAAGCGAACAATATGGCTACAGCAAAGACGGTAAGCCAATAACCCGGAATCACTCAAAGACAAGAAGCTGACAGATATAACAGGACTGTCTTGCGCGATGGTCGCATGGATGCTGGACATTAATGTCAGAGCAACAATCAAGAAGCGCGAGTTCCAACGCACGTATCAGCGAATGTGCCTTTACATCAAGCATATGGAGCGTATGTTTGTTAGACCTTGAGAAGCCGGAGAATGAACACTGATATCAGAACCTAGGCATCATGGACCAATCCAACATCAAATATGATGGCTACAGCGGCACCGAAGATGGCCGAAGAATAAAAGCAGCCCGGGATACCTTCAAGCCTCAGATGAAGGCTAGATTCATACCGACAGCACCGTATCCTATCACAGCGCCTATCAGCTCTGATGGCGAGCTCTGCAGGAGTGTCTCGGATGCGCAGACTTTTGAATACAAGCTTCACCAGTTGGAGATCCTTCGGTATATGGAGAGGGTCGATGGCCCGGCATTGGCTGATTTCGAGACGAGTACGAGGAAGCCCAGACCTGAGACGGGATAACTGAATGGCCATGCTGGAACAGACCATTGGTGATCTTTGGTTTGAATAGTTGAGGTGGTTTGGTCAATGCTTCCCTTTCGGTGCGTTTTCTTGGAGATATGAGGTTTGTCGTTGGTAGTAATGCCGGCTGTTCTGCTTTTGAAATTTCCCATGGGGTTTAGTTTATTCGCAACAATGAAAGAAATGATTCAAATTAGCTTGTTCACCCTTGGTATTATTGTAGGATCGAAATTCGTATGATAAATTAAAAGCACTGGAGCGAGGCATGTTAAGACATTTCAGGCCGTAGGATCCATAATAATGCACAAGAGTAATAATAATCGAAAAAGACTTTGATTTCTTTCAAACAGGACTAACAGTGCTGCCGCCCAATATAAAATCCAGGGGTATCTCAAATGCTGGGTGTATGAGACGGGCAACAAGAACATCGCTATGTCAACAACTCTCGCAAACAAAGGAATAATGAGGGAAATTAGCGCCAGGCAATGAAAAGAAAAAGGAACAGAACAGAAAAGCCAAAACTCCTTGCCTTATGCTCAGGTCGTATCGGCATTGCATGAAAAATGTAGAAGAAAATGAATCTAAGGCTATGACGAGAAATCCCGCAGAGGATCTAGGCACCTGCACCGCTGCTCAATTCACGCATTTCTTGCAGGGCAACAGCACGACGTGCAACAACATCTTCGCGGCGGACCACATTGCGCAGTGCTTCACTGGCTTGAATCAGGCCATCAATGCTGATCGCGTGGTTGGTCATTTGGTGGTTGATGTATGTATAGAGTGCCGCCGGCGTCGAGCAGGTCGTCAACAATTGCTGCTCGTTGAGCTTAAGCAGTGCGAGAGCAACTTGGAACAGGAATGTGCTTCCGCCCCCGCTGCCAGAGGCAATTTCGGCAGCCTTGGCGGTCTTGTCACTGCTCTCCTTAGTACCAGAGGCATTTGACCCGGAGCTGTTGACTGCGCTGGTCACATTGAGACATAGAACCACGTCCCATACGCGATACAAGGCCTCCGCGGAGAGACAGTCTGTAAAGACAGAGAGGAACCATTGAAATGTGAGTGCCTCTAGTTCAATGCCCAGTTCCTCTAAGTGAGCGGAGAGCTTGGGAAGCAGCTCTGAGATATACTGTCGCAAGACTACCTGATCGGCACGGGAGGCGAGCAAGCCATGATCGTAGTAGTGCTGGGGCAGAATAATCTCGATCATCGAGGTAAGAATCCAAAAGGCGTCCTCGGCGGTCGGCATGATGAGCAGCAAAGACGCTGCGATGAGGTTCATGCCCTGACAGTAACCTACTTCTGGGTTACGGCGCGAGTACGCAAGTAGAACCTCTTTCAACTTGCTGACACCAGGCCCTTTGCGGAAGAAGACATTATCGGTAAGGGTGCGGCGTATATCCATGTCAATTTGTGCGACGACGGAAGGGTCGGGGTCCGATCCACCAACGCCATGCACAAGATCATCATAGTAGCCAGGAATTCGCATTGCCGAAGCCCCGCTGCATTCCGACCAAGTTTTGGCGCGAAGAGCAACTGGGATGCCGCCGAGTACGAGCAGGCGGAATTCTCGCCACTTCGCTCGGCCAACCTTGCCTTTGTTGCCCAGACCTGCGATGCCTACAACTTCGCCGTCGGCGAGTGAGACTTCTGGTGTGTCAACGGCAGCAAGAGAACGATCGGAGGTTGCTGCAGCGGCAGCCGCTTCGCCCTCCTTTCGGCGTTCAGCACGCACTTTACGAAGGAACTCGTTCCATCTGACGGTTCGATCGCGTTGCAAGGTGTCGTGGAGATCGGTCAACTGTTCCAACAATAGTTTTACGGGCTCCATCTCTGCGACCGTGAATCTGGAGGCTGTGTCTTTGAGCTGATCCGAGGACAAGCCAGCGAATTCGGGGCTGTCGGCCGTGATTGCCGACGTAGACGCCGATGGTTGTGCGCTGGACCCGACAGCCAACGCCCCGTCTTTGTCATATGAAACAGAGGAGCGATTTTCTCCTGCAGTAGTCAAAGAGACAATCGGGCCCGCAGAGGGTGTGTGGGACAAGAGCTCTGTGGGACGGGACGGCATCCTCAGATAGTCCTGCCAGCGACGGATGGAAACAGCTCCGCTGTCAGGGTCATCTGGCGAGTCAGGCAGAGAACGCGAGGCCTCGGAAGGCCCCTGCCGAAGTTTTGTAATTTCGGGGTCATCCTCATGATCTGACGCATCGGTCCGAAGAGAGCCGAGAGTCTCGCTTATACTCAAACGGTGATTGCTGCTCTTGGCAGTATTGGCTTCCCTCTGGCGCTTCTTTCTATGTTGATCATAGATGAAACCGAACCGGTCGGTGAGGAACTCACCCGGTTGGGAATTGTTGTAAATAGGCGTGAGCGTCGGAGGCTTCGACTCCATGGGCAAAATCGCGTCCATCTCGACGGGTCCAAGATTTGTGGAGCCTCTATCGGCAGTCTCCGACGTTGCGCCCTGGGACACGCTGCCAGCTGCCGGCCTTCGCGACGCAGGAGGGTTCATTTTCCCCTGAACGCTCGATCCACTGGCAGATCGTCCAGTAGTAGACGTACCGACGTTGCTGTTGATCTTCTTCAGTGCAGCCACTGCCGACATTGAGCCCTTAGAGTTGCCAGACAGTGTAGACGAAGCACTTTTGTCTCCGTCCTGTCTTTTGTGTTGGGGTTTCTTATGGATAGACTCAGCATCACTTGCATCTCTGCTCGACTGGGGATTGCCAGCAAATAGCTTGACAGTCCAAGAGCCGAGAGATCGTGAAGATTTGCGAGAATGAATGCTTGCATCGTCGCCATTTGCGGACGTGCTAGCAATCCGCTTCGCCGGTCCGTTTCGTGCTGGGCCATCCGGGGGCTGGAATAGCTGCTCATCAAGCGCTTTGCGTCGCATTGCAGGATTGCTGGGCACGCGGGGACGCTCGGTCTCTTCTTCTCCATGTTCACCAACATCACTCATAATGCTACTGGCGCGACTGGTTTTCCGGCTTGTATTGGTCGAGCCAAAAATGTACTCCTGCCAGCCCCGAACCGAGCTCTGACGCTTCCGGTTGTCAGTGGCTCCGCTGCCTCGGGGATCATTGTCTAACCGCTGGGCACGAATCGTGGCCTGCGTCTCTGCAGACTCATCATGAGGACGAGAGCCAACGGTGTCTTCCATAGCTTGAGACATCAACCCATTCAGGCCGGAATAGGTTTGACCAGCATGATCGCTACTATGAGTGCTTTCCGCATCCGAGGCACGATCGCCCGGCGGGTTCTCCAACTGATATAGACGACGTTCAATGTCCTGGTTGGACACAGATACGTCTCGTAGCATTCTCTTCAGCTCTCGCTCCCTTGCATCGGCGCGTTGGCGGAGGGCCGAGATCTCAGCATCCCGTTGAGCGAGATCGCGAGCGAACTGTCTCACCATCTTCACGGCTCCTGTTCCAGCAATTAGCCGCTCAATGTGCGCATCATCGGCTAAATGCAGCGCGCCTGGGATATCATGTGTAGGGACGGAGTCGGCGAAGAGAGCAGCTCGCCCTGATTTGTGCGACGGCCCAGTCGTCAGCTTTGCTAGCGTGGCCTTCCGCCCACGGGTAGTCCCACCACCATTTGATTCCTCCCCGTCTTCTCCGGATAATAATGTATTCGTCAGGCCACGGGCGAGGGTCGGCGATTTGTCTGGCGGCGAAAGCGAGGGGAATGAGGTCAAATCAGTTGTTGTGTTGGAGGAGCCTGAATGGCGTTTTTGCATTTTGGCGCGAGCGACTTTAGCATTTCGACTTCTGCTCGAGGCGCTTGACGCTTGGGACGAAGAACGCCGCTGGGAGTGGATGTCGGAATCTGCCATGACTCAACAACCGGGCAATGGCATGAACAGTGGAATCGTTGATTAATGGCTTCATGAAGGCTTTTCTTAGGGCTTTCGGATCTGGGCAAATTGGAAATGATGTCCGGGCTAACGAGACAAATAATCAACTAGCTTACGTAGCTTCTGATACTTGGCTCGTCTTGTCGCGCGTACTTGGCGATACTTGCTGTCGTGATCCGTGGATGGAATGAAGGGAGATCGACCGTGATTTTCAGGGCGGGTACGGATTCAACCCTAGATACCCTATTTTAAGACCAACAAAAGCATGAGGAAACAAAGAGCACAGATTTGTCTTGTTCTGAAACCCACAAAGACAGCTTTGATACCCTACGGCACATGACGTGACCGGACATGTGTCATGTGACCCAATGCTTATGTTCTCTGACACGTGACTATCATGTCATGCTGGTCCCTACGCCCTAACGTAGTCCTGGAGCCTCGGCTCTCCGCATAACCGACATAGTGGGGAAAGCTGATGAGCTGTTATAACTACAAAGCCGCCGCAATTGAGGGCGGTTCTTCTTGAGCTGACAATTCGTTTTTCAATTGACTGCTCTTTAAGATTACCGAGATTATAAAAATTATGTCTGCAGCGGCAAAGCAACGTCTTCAGGCCCTGAGCAAGCAGCTCGTTGAGGGCATTCCCTCCGAGGGCACGTTCGAGGATATCCCCAAGATCCGTCATGTTGCCCCTGATTCAGCAGGACCGTAAGTAGCCTTAATTTTATAGCACTATTCTGTTTTTTTTTTCCAGCTTCTAGCGTTGCATACATTGCAAGCTTAGGTGCATATCTAACACTTGAATATACAGCCGGGCGAAGGACAAGGTAGTAATCGTGACCGGTAAGCACTATTCCCGACGCCATCCTAAAGCACTATACCAATTAAGTTCCAGGCGCAAACTCTCCAAATGGAATTGGCCGCGCCAGTGCGCACCAATTCGCCAACAATGGCGCAAAAGCAGTCTACATCTGCGATTTCAGCGACACCCACCTTGCAACGCACAAGCGGGAGATGGAATCGCTCTACCCAAACGTAGACGTGCACGTGCGGACATTTGACGCAGCGGACGAAAAAGCTCTGACAGGAGTCATCGACGAAGCAGTCAGCAAGTACGGCCGACTCGACATCTTCTTCG